ATTAAAAATTAAAAAATAATATATTATTTAGTATTATGTAAATAATTCCTCGATCTTTTAAGAAAAATAACTTACTAAAAAATAATTTAGTGTAGAAAAATTATATGTTTTGACCCTCTCTCTTTTATATGTGAGACTGTACGTGAAAGATTATACATATTTGCGTATTTTCCATAATTACAATGTTATGCAAAATCAACTATTGGTTAAACTGTTGGTCAAATAAGTAATATTATATCGTAGTATTAATTATGGGCAACGATTTGTTGCTAAACAGATTATATAAAATATAAAATGACTACAATAAATGTCGGCGGTCAATTAATGTTTACTACGTTACTACTCTAATTAGGTCAGCTTGACCACGCTTATATTAACATCTAATACGGTAATTATTCAATCTTCTTTAATCTGCATTTTTTATAAGACGTAAAAAAATTAATAAATAATTGTCAATTATTGAATAAAATATTGCTTATATATATTAATATAGTTTAATTATTTTATTACTACTTAACGAATAATAAAAAGACAAAATATATTATTTAATATTATGTAAATAATTCCGTGCATATTTTTTAGAATAAAAAATTTAATATCGGTATATATACATGCATTAATTATTCCTGTATAATCATTTCTATATAAATAAAATAATGTAAAAGATGTGGAAAAATAAATCTAACTTTTGACATATTTTTTAAATATTTTCCTAACATATTATTATATATATATAAATTATAATAAATATTTTTTTAATAATGTATATCCACATAGAAAACGGAATTATTATTACATAATAGTATAAATTTACCATGGACTAAATATATATATTATAATCATATTATATGACTCACCGATCAATGTCCCGTTGTTTCCTTCTCGTCATCCGATTCATTGGCCTTTCTGTCCAAAACTGATTATCGACGGCCGACGATTTCATCGTATATTTAACTGAATTAGTTCATTGGATATTAATTATTATTCACGGTCGCGATATTGGTCCAGTATCCCGCGATACTTTTTTTCGGCACTCCCGATATATTTATATTGTACTTCCTCTCGCGACAATTCGCTTATCGTTACTGTTCGCAATCCTTGCGCTCGCATAACCGAAATAATCGTCCGATATTATTACTCGACACTCCCGACGACATTTATACGCGGCGAAATCCGTTGCATCACATTATTCACCATTACTCGCGGCACTTTAGATTCGAATACGTACGTTGCGATCGCGATGTACTTTTTCACGCCCGTTACTTTTCCTCGGCACTCCCGACTCGCGGGTACACGATTATCATTCGCGATGACTGACGGACCCGTAACTGCGATAGTGGTTCGTCCTCGTCATATTTACACTCGCGTAATCGTACGCGACGATCGCCATTCGAAAACTAACGGAGGCAGGGAATTCGAACATCAACGACGGTTACGACGTTCGTCGAACAGAGACGCCGAAGGAAGCCTCCGCTACCCGCGATTCTCGCATCGATCAAATATCGATCACACATTCGCGAGATACTTATTCTCGACGCGAATACGACGCGACGATGACACTGTGCCCGATACTTTCCTCGACACTCCCGAAATTCACCTACGCGTAATGGCGGACACTCGATGAATGGCGAAAAGGCGGGGAGGGGTTCACACGCCACTCGCCAAGGCTAATAATCTCGACGAAGTCTCTGTGACTGTGATTCGCATGTTAACATAGATGGAAAAATCTAAGAAGTAATCGCTCGACCAATCACAGTCGAGAATTCTCCGAGTCTCTAGTCTCTGTGATTGGTCGATCGTTTATCCCCTAGGGTTCTCTAATCCTTGCACACGTAATCACGTAAGCGACGATTACCATTGGATGATTAGCGGACGCGCATGTCCGTGAGAGATTCACACGCCAAGATGTTCGTCGAAGCTTTATCTAATCGCGATTTACACGATTTAAGAATAAAATATTAATCATTATTTATACTATTTATCAATTACTATTAATATTTTGGGCATTTAATTAAAGACTAATCAGAACAAAAGAAGCAAAGATTTCTTTGTTTTAATTAATCGATCAAATGCTTGCAGTATTTGTAGCATAAAGATGAATGCAGTGTAAATCTATTTATTTCGTTTGCATTTTCTAAATTCATTATCAGATTTCTCGCTTTTTTTTCTTTAGCGTTTAATTTATACAATATATTTATTTCGTTGCGAGTATAAAAATTTCTGTAGAAATTACACGTAAAATAAATAACTCATTGTCCAACTTGAGAATACGAAAAGGGATAAAAATCTACAGGGTTCACATATCACTCGCCAAGGAATGCAAATCGCTCACAAGCTCGCCAACTGTTTATCAAGTTTCTCGTTAATACACGGAGGTACAAGACGCGGCGATACGTGGTTCTAAAACATCACAATTCTCCGTCGATCGAAAGGTATAATTGCTAATTAACATCGCGTATCTCAATCTGATTACACGTAGGGTTGCCATACGTCCTCTTTTCCCCGGACACCGTTCTCTTTTTTAGGGCGTCCGGGGGGATTTTTCGAATGTGTCCGGGATAATTATGAATGTCTGAGGTTTAAGAATATTCATAAATATTCCGCTTTTTAGATTTATACACGTAATATGCGCAAATAATTTTCTATAGATAGTCGGAATATCTCGGGAGTGTGCAATAAACTCGTCTAACACGGCAGACGCGTATGTAATATGATATGGCGTGAGCTCGCGCGTCCTCTTCACCCCTCGCATTCCAGAGTCGCTCGGCGAGAGTCTCGGTGTTTTTTTCCAGTAGTATGTTTTTTTTCCAGGAATCCTTCGCGGTATGTTGTGTCTTTCGAGTGTTTACATTCCGCATCCTCGCATTGAATTGATGTAGTACAATAACCACATAATATTTCTTACATTCTTCTCTCGTCAGTCGTAGAGAGGACAGCGAAGCGAAGTGCGCGTTGAATGAAATGTCGAATATTCGCGTAACGGTTTTCTCTCATTAGTAATAATGATTAATAATTGCTCATCGATCGACAAAGTATAATGGTATTTGCATCGCGAATATTAAATATCTATATATGTGGAAAGTGAGATATGACGCTTTTCTCGGCGATGATGGAAATTACCGAAACGCGTTTTCCGCGTTCGAAAAATTATTTTATGAGCGCCTTGACGAGTGACGTGTGAACCCCTCCCCCAGTCATCGAGTGTCCGCCATTACGCGTAGATGAATTTCGGGAGTCTCGAGGAAAGTATCGGGCACAGTGTCATCGTCGCGTCGTATTCGCGTCGAGAATAAGTATCTCGCGAATGTGTGATCGATATTTGATCGATGCGAGAATCGCGGGTAGCGGAGGCTTCCTTCGGCGTCTCTGTTCGACGAACGTCGTAACCGTCGTTGATGTTCGAATTCCCTGCCTCCGTTAGTTTTCGAATGGCGATCGTCGCGTACGATTACGCGAGTGTAAATATGACGAGGACGAACCACTATCGCAGTTACGGGTCCGTCAGTCATCGCGAATGATAATCGTGTACCCGCGAGTCGGGAGTGCCGAGGAAAAGTAACGGGCGTGAAAAAGTACATCGCGATCGCAACGTACGTATTCGAATCTAAAGTGCCGCGAGTAATGGTGAATAATGTGATGCAACGGATTTCGCCGCGTATAAATGTCGTCGGGAGTGTCGAGTAAAAATATCGGACGATTATTTCGATTAGACGAGCGCAAGTGTTGCGGACATGTAACGGTAAGCGAATTGTCGCGAGAGAAAGTACAATATAAATTATATCAAGAGTGTCGAAAGTGATTACGCGAATGTAAATACGCTGCGGGAGTGTAATATTAAATCGTAACAAATTTGCGCGTGCGATTGAGTACATTTCCGCGATTTATCATAAATCATCCTCGTGGAATTGTGAAGTAGAAATAAAAATTAGCATCGATGGAACAACAATATATTATATACATGTGGCAAAGGCGTAACAAAATTGGTGAGTAAATTATTTCATAATTTCTTAACGCGATTAAGATAATTACAAGTATGAGATGTGAAAGGACACGCAAATGTATCTCGTCTTTTGGACATCTAAAGAATAAATAATTCATACGTTTATTTATTATTATCGTGAGGTGTCACGGTTCAAAGAATTGCAGTACGTCGTGTTAACGAGGAAATGAAGCATTAAGTTTATAATTCCGCATATAATTCAATCAACACCGTGATGTACGTCATTAAATACAAGTGATTTGCATTTCATGTTTGTTTTCTATATACAAGATTATTTTCATAAACACAATTAAATTAAATTATGAATTTATAAGATAATAATTTGTACTTATAATGTTTTATATATGAATAAAAAGCACATAAAATAGATGTGTATAGAGTGTCTCTGAAGTATGATTCAATCAACATTGTGATGTACATCATTAAATACGAGTAATTTGCATTAATTCACGTTCGTTTTCTATACACAAGATTATTTTTATAAACACATTTAAATTAAATTATAAATTCATAAGATAATAATTTGTACTTATAATGTTTTATATGTATAAAAAAAAATATGTAAATAAAAGGCACATAAAATAGAGTGTCTCTGAAGTATATAAAAATACAAAATAGCTAATGTCTATAAAGTTTACGGAGATTTAACCGATTTCGCGTCTTTTTCTCATCTTTTTCCACGAAAAAAGCCACCGAGAGGATTAATTAAGAGTTTCAGATAGCGTTAACTAATATTTACGGGAACGATTCATGGTACAGCCGTTCGGAATAAGTTAATGCATTACGTTACGCTCGATAATCCGATAAACGCGATTGCGAATCGCAATTTATGCATCGCGTGCACGACGCGTTCCCGTTTTAACGATCGCGCGGCCGAAACAAGAAGTGTCGATCAAATTCCCGCGTGGCTATCGCGCGCGAACACAATCACGCACTGCTCCTAGAATTTGCCGTATCGCGCGTGTGAAAATTACTATAATCGAAGCCTCGACATAAAAAGGGCTGTATAACTGCCACATTTTCAGAAAATTATTTCTTTATTCGAAAGGATTCTATTCGGAGGCTGATACTAAGCTATGCGAGAGACGCATGTTATGAATATTTATACGCTACTTGAATTATTCATGAAGCTAAAAACAATGAAAAACATTCATAATTAAAACATTGGTACTTTTCTTTCGGATATAAGTAAACTATTTTCTGCGAATATAAGTTTGTACGCGCGTGTAAGATATATTCTTAAAAAAATTTATCGATATTTATCTTTTGAGCCCTTTTATTTTATTTTTAACTTTATTTTATTTAAGATATATTCTATTTTTGCCGGTAAAAAAAAAAATAAATTGCAACATTGTTCTTTTGTATCTGTAATACAATAATACGCGTGAGAGATTTGGCTGTAGGAAATAATTTTCTTTCTACTCGAGACACAACATCGAACAGTCACCACGCCCTTTGCCATTAATAAATTTACTTAGCGAATAATCGAGAGAGGATCGAGGCTGTGCCGTACTGTCTTCGGATATATACGGCGACCTTTGTATTCCTGGATCCGGCGTATATATTCGCGGTCGTGTATATAAAGGATTCTAGGGGAAAAAATTGAAACATTACTCACGCGACACCATTGTTCTCTTCCTTTCGTGCGTCCCCACATGCAAATGGTAGAATTTTCCATCCGCCGTGTATTTCACGTTGAATTTCATGCTGAAGCGCTCTCGATGTAGCTTATCTATTATCTGCGTCGAGAATCTCTTTCGTTTCGATAATGAACCGTTTAATAGCAATTAACATTATTGACTTATTGACAAAACAAAATCAGGGCTTTTTCTTTACTTTTCTCGTTTAAAATCATTTATTTAATCGAATTAGAGTTTACTTACAAGAATAGATCTTTTTTCTCCATTAATCATTAAGATTTATCTGCTTTAAAACAAAGTTATATGTTAAATTAGTTGGTTACTTTTCTGTAATTCTGATACTATATATATTTTAAAACCACAAATATAAAATTGATTGTCCTTAATTCAAGTTTCAATTAATATCATGGAATCAGAGAATCTTTATAATTTATAACATTGAAACAGTTTTTTTACAGATAAGCTATAAATTAAAATTGAATTAAAAGTCGCTTGAGTTTAATATTTTAAACTGTTATAATATATTTTTATATTTGTAGGAATACAAAATTTAGTCTTTTAATTTAAAGTTTATTAGGAACTTTATTGACATTTATATAACTGTTATTTTTTTCTTAGTTTATTTTTCAACGTCTGCAATAAATAAAACTGTTAATGTGTGCATATAAAATATTTTCGTATAAAAACTATATGTTATGAAAAAAGAAAAAGAAAAAAAAAATAGTTAATTGCCGCGCGAAATGAGATTTTACGATCGTGTAATGCGCTGGATACTCGAGATTCACGGGATATGAGATTCCGGATAAATCGACGATTAAACTTCATATGTCGACGGTAGTCTCGTCGCTTAGGGTTTAACTTGGTAATAATAACGTCGCCCAAGCCCGGGGTTCCAAAAGTTAACGACGGTGTTACACACGCCTGCAAATAGAA